AAAAATTAATATAAATTTTGTAAAATTTTATATATGAAATTTAAAAAAAAAAGCCAGCCGGCCGGGTCTATTTAAAAATTTCATGTTATGAAAACCAAGTAATCAAATTTGTATGGCCTTATATCTAGAGTACTGCTATTTCCACCCCACTTTTGTTAATGCCACCTACAAATTTAAAAATTGCTCCAGATGAGGTATTTTATTAAGTAAACCCTTATTTTGACCTTAATAAAAGTTGTTCATCAGACCTTTCCGGTTCTAATGGTAGTAAAATCTTTAATATCGGGCCAGTAGTTCCTAAGATATTTATATCCAAAGTTAGTTAATTTTTATGACTTTTAAATAAAACTATTGGCCTGATTTTAATGATTTTACTACTATTGGAACCGGAAAGGCCTGATGAACAACTTTAATTAAGGCCAAACCAAGGATTTACTTAATAAAAAATACTTCTTCCGGAGCAGTTTTTAAATTTTGGGTAAGATTAGCAAAGTACTCTAAAAAAAGGTATTTTTATTAAGTAAATCCTTAGTTTGGCCTTAATTAAAGTTGTTTATTAGGCCTTTCCGGTTCTAATAGTAGTAAAATCATTAAAATCGGGTCAATGGTTTTTTTTTTTTTTTTAAGAGAGATCTTTTCCTCCATTTCTTTATTATATATAATTATATTATTTACAAATTTTCATTGCAATGATATATTATATTGAGTGAAAGGGAAAATAAAGCTCGGACATCTCTGCCATTTTATTTTAGACCTAAATCTTAGCTAGATAGGTCCAAGACCTCTAGACTATGTTATGTATATCGAAGGGGAAAAAATTATAACTAATATATCTATCTAACCATTTATTGAAGTTAGTATACCCTTTTACTTTGATATAATACGTATTATCCTTTTGATTTTAGTTTAATTGAGCTACTATATTATTTATACTATTGTTATTTTGAGCTAATGAGCTGTATGCTGCAACCTATGAGGGTACCCATATTAACTCGTGTATTAGTGTTGCTATTGTGTTATGCAACTCTACTGCTTCAATTGTATTTCTGGGTGTCCAAGTGTCAGAAGTTATTACACCAATAGGCATTTTTCTTGTTATGTGTACATTGGTATATTTTGATATGAATCTTTGGATGTGTTGATGCGAGAGTTGGTTTGATTTCTGTAGTTTGTTGCAAGCGTAGTATTACCTGGCTGATAGTAGTTGGGTTAGAATTATATGTTAGCCAATATATGGGGGTGAGTCAATAGAAATCAAGCAAATTTTTTATAATAAAAATTTTTTATAACTTTAAACAAGAATAACTTAACAAAAACTTGACCAAATTTAATGAAAATTTTTTTAAATAATTTTTACAAACTTGTAAAATTAATTTTAAAAAAAAATTTATTAAGTTTTTGTTAAGTTATTCTTGTTAAAAATCTTATTAAAAAATATTTGCTTGGTTTTTATTGACTCAACTTCATATGTTGTCCTCAACTTTGGTTAGGCATCTTCTACAAGTTGATGATTCGTATTTATCTGGATGTCTTTTATTAAAGTTTTCAAAGGTTGGGAGTTCATTTAGTAGTATCTTCAATTTAAAGGTCTTGAGCTTTGACTTTTTTGGGTTTGTTCCTCTTGAGAGAGACTTGTCTTTAAAGTTTATATATTTATAGGTTAGTTGCTATTCTATTTCTAGTTGGAGCCAATTTCGTATCCTTCTTTGTTGTAACCAGTTATTCATTTTAGCTGTTCGTATTAGTAACTTTATAGTATTATTTGAGGTTAGTGGTAATGTTTGAGTATTAAGTGATGCTGAGAATCTTTTTACTAGAGCTTTTGTTAAAATAAATTCAGTTAAGACCGGTTCGAGATTTTGTTCAATAGTTGGCGTTATTGATTTTAGAGCTACATTAAGGAACTTTATATTTATTAATGTATCGATGCCTATCTCGTAATCTGCATAGTCTTGTCTTTTTACTTGTTGTATCCAGAGAGGTTTGCTATGGTGATCAAATCTAATATCTTGAATGAATGTTGAATTTGTGCTAAGTATTATCTTGGATTCAGGAGAAGCTAGCATTAAGAGAATTAACAGGGCTGTCAGTGCAACATTTTGTGGAGTTGGCTAGGTCTTGTTTTGAATAGCAATTACCAGTTTATTATCTATATATAAGGTTACTGTTGGTATTACTATTTTGTTGTTTCGCCAAATTTTTACCAAAATTTTTGCTTCCAATTCTTTCTTTGTTGGTAAGTTTACAAAGATCTCCCATAGTTTTTTGTCAATATCTGTAAATGCTTGAGTAAAGCGATATGTTATTGAATGTCGAGCTGAAATGTATTGGTATTGCTAATTAGGTCTTCTGGTTTGTGGTAGTTTCATTTCGAGTAATACTCTACTTCTGTGCCACTTTCTTGATTTTGCTATCTGTATGCTGTAAATCTGGCTAGGCTGTCTTTCAATTATACATGTTGCTAGTCTCTTGTTAGATAATTTATATTCACAGTTTGGGCATAGTTGCACATATCCCATTTGATCAAGTACCCAGTATCTTATGTGGATGGTCCCATGAGTATATGATGTGATTTTCCCGATTAGTTTGTCAGCCATGATGACTCACTTGTTTTTCTTTGGTGTGGCCTTTTGCCAGAAGTATGGATTTGGTGTTTTCAAAAATAGTGTTGGTGATTCTATATCTCAGATAGCATCTTTTATTTGAGTAAACCATTGTGGTGTTCTTCCTGGTGGAATCTTATTTATATTGTAATGAAATTCAATCCATTTTAAGGTTCTATCTGTATTAAAGTTGAGAAATTTCTCAATCACCTCTATATTGTGTTTATTCAAGAAGGACTTGATATATGAGGATCTTGGTATTGTCTTCAGCAATTCGTTGATAGGGGGTCAATAGTTTTATTTAAATGTCATAAAAATTAACTAGCTTTGGATATAAATATCTTAGGAACTACTGATTCGATATTAATTATTTTACTACCATTAGCACCAGAAAAGCCTGATGACCAACTTTTATTAAGGCCAAAATAAGGATTTACTTAATAAAATATCTTATACAGAGCAATTTTTAAATTTTGGAGGGTGGTATTAGCAAAAGTGGGGTGGAAATAGCAGTACTCTATATCTATTATATAAATAGGCTAGCAAATAAAAATAAATAGGATTTATAAATCTCTGATTTTAAAATAAATACATCACTAATTTAATTCAAAATCAGAAACCTGAACCTTAAGTTTGAAACCCTCTATTGTAAGTTTCATGTTAAGCAAATAATACTTAATCTTAGATCAAACCTTAAGCAGTGATTATATAGTATGTACAGATGGCAATTTTTGAATATGTACCAGGTTGGTAACACATTAATTAGTCCAATTAATTTGTGCCAATTAAAACTCTAATGATAACAATAATAAAACTATAAATTTTAATAAAACGAAACCACTATTTTTAACGTTATTTATACTTGAATAATGTTCTTGTTATTTTCAAAAAAAAACATTTTCTTTCATTTATTTTCATAATTTGTAGCTACTAATATTATTGCTTTGAATTTGAAAAAATAATTATAAATTTAAAACTCTTATGACATTTTCCTTGCGACAGCAAATGGTAACAATCTATACATTATGATATATGTAATTCTACAAGATCACGAGATTTTTTGAAGAAATAATTGAAGATTTTATTCAACTTATTAGAATTTATTTAATTTAATTATCCAAATTCTAAGTTAAAATACATTCGATTTGAATGTACAAAATGCATTTATATCCAGATTCAAATTTTATTTAATATATACATAAAGCTTTAAATTTTGTTTATTATATATATAAAGCTTTAAACTTTTTGGAGCTTTTTTGCTTGTTCAAAATCTTTAATGTCATCTACCATTTTCTGAATAGGTTTAAGTAGTGTTTAAAGATAAGTCAGCTTATCACAGCTTGCTGTGGCTTACTGCGGCTTATCACATGATAAATTTTTTTTTATATTGCTAACGGTAAAAACTTTATTTAATTAAAGGCTTTTCTCTAACAACAATTGTATATACAGTTTCTAATTATATTTGTGCTACTTTTAACTAGTCATCCAATGAGGCAATATACTCCTTATTTTCCCTATATTACTTTTCCATTAACTATTTCAAGCCAACTTTCAAGCTAGGGTCGGTTGGAGCAACTTACTATTATATGTCCCACCCATGTAACTATTTAGTTTCTGTAATTTCCTTCCCAATTAGTACATATTGACTGCTGCCATTGTGTTTATATCTCATGCCACCTTTTGGGGTATGGCCATAACACAATCTGTATCTAAATTTCAACCTTCCTAATTAGTCCTTAATTACATACTATATTACAAGATTTTCTATTGTTACTTATTTTTGTACTATTACACTCCTCTATCTACTTCCTGCAGCAACCTTATAATTCTCCCAAATTGGTTCATTCTGGTGGTTTGTTGCTATTTTTGCTCCCATATTGGTGTACACAGCCTTCCTTATATATTGATATCTTACAGCACGGCTGGATTTATTGAATCTCTGGTTGTTATCTGCAGTGTACCACCTACTTTATACAATGCTCCCATAGTTGGTATGATTGACTGTAGCATGAGCACCAAAGCTTCCCAGTATAACTATGTTATATGGGTGTACTACTGACGATCATTTTACTTCCAGCTTGGTAATGCAAGAAGGCCTGGAACCTTGACTTATAGCACATCAGTATGGCACCTATCATCGATGTTGTGATATGCAGTGTTTCCTTATTAGTTTTCCAATTTTCCAATCTTGTATGCCAGAGGTGTTTTTTATTTGGTAAAGCCATCTTTTTACCACAGCCCTTTACTGTATTTGCTGCTTCTTTCACCACTTCCAGATATACTACATATAGCTATCCTCCCAATCAAGATCCCCAAGACCACCTTAGGGTTGTTAGTGCTACCTAGCCAATCAAGGATTTACATACACAGCCTTTACACAGGTTGAAATCAAAATATCTTCCCTGTATCTTCAAATAATCGGCCTAGATGATAGCAGGACGATATAGTGATAGCTACTGTATGAACCGATATGATAGTGTATAAAAAAAGCCGATATGTGGAAGATTAGAGTAAATTATGATGCATATACGGAAATTAACATTCGCATATCGTTAAGATGATTTGTTTATCATGTAGAAGATATAAG